TTTTAAAATTGAAAACAACTCTATTTTTACAAATAGTACCAAATGCTAATTTTGTCACTGTGTCATATGACTGTCTGGCTTTGCTTTATGGGACATCCCACTAGACCAGGGATTGAAAACTCAGATGTCCATGAGGGCCAGACACAAAGGTGAGCAAAGAAGAACAAGTGTAAAGCTACTGGGAGGGGTGGGGACTGGGGGAAATGGAGTGATAGAGTTCCAGATGATTGCCACATGTTGGGGGGGGGGGTGGTATTAGCATAACTTCAAGTTAATCAAGAGAAGCTAGAAGTTGGGATGCTCATGTGAAATTTTCAGATTAAAGAACCCCTCTGCCAATTGAAAACATAAAATGCCAATTTACTGACCTCTGTACTAATTTAAGACTGTGTGACCCTGCCCAGTTGTTCAGTGGTTAGAGCATTGGCCCAAGAACCAAAGGGTCATAGGTTCAAGTCCTAGTCAAGGGCACATACTTGGGTTGCATATTTGATCCCCAGCTCAGGAGAGTGCATGCAAGAGGCAACCAATCCAAGTGTCTCTCACATCTCTCCCTCTCTCTCTCCCTCTCTCTCTCTCTCTCTCTCTCTCTCTCTCTCTCTCCCCTTCCCTCCCTCCCTCCCTCCTTTCCTCCTTCCCTTCCACTCTTTCTAAAAACCAATAGAAAAGAAAAATCCTCAGGTGAAGATAACAAAACAACAAAGACTTTGTGTGTACAAGGCCACTTGTCAGTCTTGTTCTCAGATAGTTACTCAGAGTCTAGTCCAGGCCCTGCTTATCAAAAAAAAAACAAAACACTTGGCAGTTACTTGTTGAATGCCATTCAATATGAGGCTGAGAAGTGGGTTTTGGGGGAAGTGACAGTTTGGTAACTTCCCTGAGACTTTGGAATTTGGCTAATGAAGCTCCTCTTGTTGCCTCTGTGAATATCAGTATCTTTCCTTTAAAATTCTGATCAGAAAGATGGAGATCATTAATTCATTTATGAAAAGACAGTACTGAATTTAAAAACAAAATCTTAAAAAAATAAAGGAAGTCAGCTTCCCTTATTTAAAAAGTTGTTGCAGAGAGAAAGAAAATGTTTTCAGTATGATGCTGCAGATAAAGAATGAATTCGGGAGATTTCGAAGGTTAATATTTAATAACGTTTATATGTGATATTTGGGAGAAAGTGGCAAAGAAGGAGCACAGTGATAAATAAGACTCCGACATCACCATCCCCGAGCAAATAATGAATGTTCTGACTATGTACGTTGGGGGGCAATTTATCATGAAAAGACACCGCAGGAGACATTGCATCTGCAAGTGTACTGGAGGGCTGTCTTGTTTTGTTTAAGAGCATCTGGGTTCATCTCATCTGCTTGTCTTTAGTATGGAGCTCTGAGTTATAACCGCAACACTCTCAGATGGAAGAGCTGCCTGCCTTGATTAAGAACTGCATTCTCCAAACCCTATAGGCTAAAACAATTGGGCAGAGAGCAAAAAGTCAAAGGTTCTCAGCCATTTTAACTGCATTTTCGTTCCACCATTAGGTCTTTCCAATTCACCATTCAAGAAGCAATAAATGCCAAAGAGCAGTCAGACAACTGAAATACTAGTGCTTATTAGACAGGCCGTGTGGAATGATGGGCCAGCCACAAGGAAGGGTGGCAAAGAATGGCATTGCTGTGCCAAATGGCTCTCCAGTTCTTTGGTGCCCTTGCCTCTCTTTACTGCTTAGTCACACATTTCACATGCCGGCTTGGTAGAGGGGATATTTCTGCCTGATACAACTGACGTGACTTCCCAGAGCAAATAAGCAACAAGAGTAGCTAGCATTGCCTTACTGGTAGCCCCTGGTCAGTATTTCCCATGCAGTGACAGGTCTCATCCAGTGTGCCCCACAATCTTTTTGTAGATCAGGAAACTGTTGACAGGGTGGAGTGACCATCATGTAAGTGTTTTACAACATAATGATGGAGTTAACAGATAACCTTTGTCTGCACTCTGTGTACCTTGCACATATCTGTATGTGCTGGCTTGTAATGTTTCCTTTACCTGCTTTCATACTCCAGTAGCATGTGAACTCCTGAAGGCACAGACATGCACCTGCCTTTCTGTAGCTCAAAAACACTTAGAATGATACTGGGTCTCTCTCTCTCTCTCTCTCTCTCTCTCTCTCTCTCTCTCTATATATATATATATATATATATATATATAATGCTTGGCTAATGTTGGAGTTCTTTGTAGTGGAATTTTGCAGTTATTGAACATTTTAGGTTGGAAAGAATCTTGAGTTGTTGGACTAGATTATTGTTGGAGGCTCATCCAGGTGCTACATTGATGGACGATACAAAAGAAGACCTGCCTCCTACTTGTGAGGAGCTGGTGATCCACTCCTAGAGCTGGACAAGCATGACCCTGCCCTGGTCCCTATGGGCTCGAGGGCTGCCTCTGCCCCTCCTCTGGCCATGTCTGCAGCCCCACTGCAAGGAGTCTATGGGACTGAAGCTCACACACTGTCCCTTCTAGACTGTGTTCCATATTCAGGATCCTGGATTCTCCTACCCAACTATCCCCAGGTCCACTTCCAGGGTTCGACACCCAGGGACAGAACAGGGCTCTAGTATATATCGCGAGGCCTACAGAATGGCCAAGGGGCATCGGCTGGCAAGGTGAGGGGTAGCTGGAGCTTGGGCTGCATCCCATGGGGGTGGATGAGTCCCCTTGGCGGTGGGATGGAGCAGCATGAAGAGAAGGTGCTGAATCTCCTTAGTCTGCAGTCTTTCAACACAAACTCCAAGGTCCCTTGGAGCTCTAAATCCAAGACAGATCTTGCAAGGCGTTTGAGGCCATATTTGTTCAGGTACAAGGAGACAACAGTCTTATTTAAGAGCTTATCAGATTGATTTACAGCCATCAGTTCTATACCTGTGGGAGGCGGGCCCCATGGAACTGGAACTCCCATTAGGGTGGGTCCCAGGTCGGCCTGCAGAGCGCACACATCAAACACCTGTGCTGGGGGCAGGTTCTGCCTCTCCCTGTGGGAAAGGACGGAGTCCTACCTCACCCTCTGCATGCTAGCTCTTTGCCTTTGGCGGCTGGTGGAGCGCCTGGTGTCTTTCTATTAACAAAGACCGCACTGCCCGCTTCTCACCTGAAACACCCAGGGTTTTCACGGAGGCTTGGGGCTCCACACACGGAAAGGCGTGATCGGCTGAGGGCAATTCCGGAACGGACGTCTCGCTGTCCATGGGAAAGTGTGAGCTTTGTTCTTCCTTGTGTGTGACTTTCACCAAGAAAGGGGGACTGGGCTTAATGTCAGCACCGGGAGATTTAATGTGGCCCCATGACTAGAAAAATGCACCTCGAACCAAATCCTGCCTCACAACAGAGTCTGCATTGTCTGGCCACCTCCTCCCCCACCCCCACCCCCACCCTCGTTTCCCATTCCTCAAGAAAAATACTGTGTGTTTTTTGCAAAGGTGACGCTCAGAACAGGCCTGGACCCTGCCTGCTTTCTCCAGCCGGTGAGCTCAGGCTGCTGCTCACTGGGCCGGCCTGGGTCGGAGGGAAAGCTGCCATGGTGACAGACAGTCCTTGGTGGCGCTCCGCAGCCTAGCCCTGTGGGGCGGAAGTGGGGTCCAGACGTCAGGTCACAATGGGGCACCCCCCATTTGGCCTCCCCATCCTAACAAGTCTCCATGGCATGTGTTTTAAATTAAAGTAAATTCAATTTCATTTGACTTTGACAGTGGGGAGAGGACGTCAGATGCCCCTTTGAGATGGGTGATTGGTGAGGCTCTGGGGGCATCTCAGAAACCAAGGCGGTTCGTGTTGGGGACCGGCAGGAAAACCGAGACTTATTAGAAAAGTGGCTTTGGCCACATAAGTTTCCTCTGCTTACTGGCAGTTTATCCTCTGAATCTGGCTCAATGGCCTAATGAGCGAAGCATCTGCTGTGAACACCCCGGCGCTGCCTGGCCCGACTGCTCCGCAGAGGACCTGGATGCGCTCGCTGGAGCGTAAACCCGGTCCGACCCTTATTGTTCGATGGCACGGTCCCTCGCCCAGCTCCAGCCGTAAACAAAATGGTAAACTGTTTCGGCCTTTTCTTCTCAGGCCTTTCCCACGGCAGGTCCTGTCATCGCCGCCCTCACGGGCACGAAGGCGCCTCTGACGTTTGTCTCTTCAGGGCAGTGACGTCTGAGGCCAGGATGTGTCTCTGCGGCCTTATCTGCATGGTTGTTGTTTGGCCAGTGCTGGCTGCAAGGCTGGTGTGGGCACTGAAGAAGCTCGAGGACAACCCTAGCCGGTTTGGCTCGGTGGCTAGAGCATCAGCCTGCGAACCAAAGGGTCCTGGGTTCGATTCCTGTCAAGGGCATGAACCCTTGTAGGGGCTCATGCAGGAGGCAACCAATCAATGTGTTTCTCTCACATCGATATTTCTCTCTGTCTCCCCCTTTCTCTTACTCTCTCTCTAAAAATCAATGGAAAAATCTTCGGGTGAGGAATGGATGGATGGATGGATGAATGAATTGATAGATAGGTAGGTAGATAGATAGGTAGATTCCAGGACAGGCGGGTGGTGCCAGGCTGAGGGTTAGGAAAGTGTCACTTTGAGTCATTGGGCCCGGCAGGGGGTCCATGGGAAGTCTGTGCTGGGGTTTGGGGGGAAGGAAATGAGAACTACCTAGCAAAGGCAGTGACTAGGAAAGCCTGAAGGATCCATGTGCTCATATGAGGCATCTGCTCCTCCCCCAGACCCTCCTCCCAGTCTGGCTGCAGGAGGGTGTGAAGAGGTCCTCTCTAGCTCCCCGTCCTCCTCACCTCTCCATCCGGGGCCCCAGCACACTTTCTGGGGGCTGAGCGGTAATACGGGGTGAACAGTCTACTCCAGAAGCACCCTCAGACCCAAAGCGCAGGGGCCAGGTGGGGACCCCAGGTCCCAGGACAGCGCCAGGCCGCGTGGCTCTAGCGTCCCCCTGGGACCCAGATGCTGACTGCTCTATGCTTTGCAGACAGACGGTGCCCTATGGACTGTCCAGCTACCGAGGACACGCCCGTAGCAGGAGGTCTGCGGCGCCGTTCCCGCAGAGCCCACAGCCCTCCAAGTGGGCGCTGCGCTGTGCGTGTGCGGCCAGCCCCGACCCTGCCTGCCAGCGTTTCTGCACCGGAACCCTGGCTGTCAGCAGGTATGGCACCCAGCTGGCTGAATCACTCCCAGGTGTCAGTGGTCCCGGGGCAGTGAGGTCAGGATGCCTGGCTGCAGTGCAGGGGGTGGCCGTGCCCTGACTGCTGGGAAGAGGAAGTTATAACCTGACTCGGAAAAACCAGCCACAAGGAAACGCAGGTGGCTTCACTAAACCAGCCTCTCCCCACAGGAATTCCGGGGCCGAAGCAGAACTGGACCGAGGAGAGGCAGTGCTGGCCAGCGGGGTGGACAGAGGCCCGCATCGGAGGAGGTGACTCTGCGCCTTTGAGGGCACATGTGGGAGGGAGGGTGGCATCTGGCCTGTGCGGCGGCCAGAGGGAACCTCACTGCACATGGGCTGCCCTGTCTCAGGCAGGCAGGGTGCCTTTGGTAAGTCGTCTCTGGGGACAGAGCAGGCCAGGACTGTGGACAGCCACTCCTTGCCCTGCCCCTGGCCAGTCTGCCCTGCACCTTAGGCACTGATCCCAGCATCCCTTGTGGCATCAGTGCAGTGATGTCCACCCTGGAGCTCACTGGACCCGGCACAGCAAGCCAACTGCTGCCCCTCGGAGCCCTTGTCCATCTCCCCTAGCCCACACAACCCAAGGTCTCACAGAAACACAAATAAACATTTCACAGATAGATATAGATGTAGATGTAGATGTAGATGTAAATGTAGATATAGATATTGCTTTTAGAGAGGAAAGGAGGAGAGAGACAGAAACATCACTTATGAGAGAGAATTGTTGATTGGCTGCCTCCTGCATGCCCCACAGTGGGAATGGAGCCTGCAACCCGGGCATGTGCCCTGACTGGGAATCAAACCGTGACCTCCTGGTTCGTAGGTCAATGCTCAGCCACTGAGCCATGCTGGCTGGGCAAAACAAAACATTTCTTACTTTTCAGCCACTGCCTCAGGATAGAGGTGAAGTACGTGGCCCCCCAAATTCCTTTTATTTTATTATATTTTGTACCCCCTTGTCTTTTTCATCTGAGATCCTCAGGGTTTCCTGCAGCCAAACTGGATGTATGTGTCTATCTGTCCGATGACCCACCCACACGGCCGCCATGGGTGGTAATTCATGTTCCTGGGAACAGCCTGGAGGTGGCTTGGGTTTCTACAGGGACTGATCAGGGGGAGATGAAACCATGCTCAGTATCCAGGAAGCTTTCCAAATTGGTGGCAGATCACTCCTTGTGGCCCAGAGAGGGATCTGTCAGCATTCATAATAAAAATGGAGATGGAGGAGGGAGGCCAAGGCAGCAGAGAGAGGTCCCTGGGGAGCGTGAGTCAGGCCCCAGCTGGTCCTGCTTTCCTCTTTATTCTTTCTTCTCTTCCTCGCTCTAGACCCAACTCCTCTTGGCGAGGGAGGGCTGTGATTAAAGCCATCCATCCGTGGCATCATTTATGCACCCCCTCACGCATTGGCTCAGCAAAGAGCTGCTGAGCACCTGCGACACCCCGGGCACTGTTCTCGATGCTGGGGACACAGCAGGGAACAAGGCAATGAGTCTGCCTTCATGGAGCTTAGATAGTGGGGGAAGCAGACGGCAAACAAATACGTAAAACACTGAGTGAGATGCGTGCAGGAGACCAGGGGCCCAGGCCGGAGAGAGGAAGTGTTGGGGCAGGTAGCCATGTGGGTTGTGTAGACAAGGGCCCTGGCACGAAGACCTGAGGGAAAAGAGGGGGTGAACCAGAGGGGTGAGTGAGGGGGGTTTCAGGCAGGGAACGTTAAGTGCACAGGTCCCGGGGTAGGAGCATGTGGGTGTGCTCAAAGACACACGAGGACCCTGCCCAGGAGAAGCATGGCTTTGCCTTTGCTGCTCTGGCGGCCCGGTCTCCACCAGGGTCTGGAAAGCTCCCGGAAGAAGCTTCACTGGGACAGAAAAAGTCTTTTCCTATAAACCAGGGCCCCTGCTTTTTTGTAAGACTTGATTCACATTGTCAGAGGGGAGGCTGGCAGACAGATTCACATTGTCAGAGGGGAGGCTGTGCTGTCCTGCGCTTGTGCTAATCAAAGATGGAACTAGGCTGGGAGAGCTGCTGGCAGCAGCACCTGCTGGTGTGAAAGTCACACCTTCCTCCGTGCGTGCGTGGCAGGCTCTGAAATTGCCGAGAAGCACTGGCGAGGAGGATCGGTTCAATACCTGGGGTGGGGAGAAATGGCCTAAAGACACCTTCTGTAACACTCTTCCTTTTTCTTTTGCCCCCTTTCTCCAAGATAGGTTGAAATCCAGGACAGACAGACAGAGTCGTCTTTAGGCCTCCACCATCACAGGCTAACCACTCCACCTGCCACTCCGCCTGCTGCCTCTGGAGCCCGCCCAGGAGGCCTGCCCAGCCTGTGTTAGGAAGCCTCCGTTCCTGCCCCCACATGGTTCACACTTCTGCCTCTTTCAGGCCAAAGAATGAGTTCTGCCTGGGGGGGGGGGAGGAGGGGAGACACCACCCAGAGGGTCCTCACCTAAACAGCACACCCTTCCCCAGGAATCCCCCATCCAACAGCCCAGTTTTCCTTCTGGGGACAGTGATTCCAGATGTGCCATGGGCCAGCACCCTCTGTGGCCTTCCTGCTGGGGAGGGTGTGGAGAGGTCTGGCACATTGGAAAACTTCCGACTTGACTCCTTTTGGCGAGTCAGTAACTCCAAGGTAACCCTTTGCAGGTAAACACAAGTCCATCTCGTAGCTGCTGCCGCACACTTGGATCCCAATGTAGAGCAGGGCGGAGCTGTGCGCGGCACCAGGAGGGGCGGCTGTGGATGCAGTCCTAGCTGCACAGGACTCGAGGAGTTAGAGGCATATAAGACTTAGGCAGACAAGTTTAGCTGTGCTTGAAGAAGGAGGAGGAAATGAAGAAGGAAAAGGAAAAAGAAGCCTTGATGTTTGTGCCAAGGAGAGACCGGTTAGCTGGGAGGTTCCGCCATGACCTTGTGTGGAGGAAGCTGCTGGAAAAGCTACCCCGGGTCAAGGCTGTTAAGTAAATCCCATGTTTGCTTTCATGAATAAATGTGGGTCTTCAGGAAATGGCTTCAAAATAAGCCTTGAACACAAACTATTTGTAAATTATGTAAATTCCTATTTATCTGTATGATTGGGAACAACTAGGAATTGTTACGTTTGCCCTCCCACACCCCAAGGGCCCCCCTCCCCCATCTTGTTCAGCTGCGTGGTCCCAGCCAGGCTGAGGTGACTGTGTCTGAGCCTGTGGTTGGGGGGGAGCTCCTCCGGGGCCCAGGCCACCTGTCTCCCCTCCAAGGCAGACTGGCCTTGGGGTGTGTGCTGAGGTCTCGACATGGGGGAGTTTAGGGTGATGAATGACAGCGTTGGCCTTGACCAGATGTTAATTCTCCCTGAGCACCCTAAGTTCTGACAGGTGTGAAGGTGAATGTCTCCCCCCGGGACACGGAGGGCGGTTGCTGGAGAAGCAATTATTTATTGTGAAGCTCTTCTCTCCTCCGAGTGCTTTATGCGGCTGTTCAAAAGGAAGCTGCTCTGCATAGAGAGAATTTACATTGTGTTCTGAACCCAAGCTCATGTTTCTTGGAGTTTGAATTACATTTTTTAAATGCATCCTCACAGTTTGGCTCAGTGGCAAGACTATCTCGGCGAGAATTCCATGCATTGTGCTAAACTCACGAAATACTGCCGAATGCATAATAAAAAGGTCTCAATGTTTCCTCAGATTTGTGGGGTTTTTTTGTTTGTTTGTTTTTTCGCTTGTGTTATAGGCCGGCTATACATCAGAGTTCCCTGGACCTCAGGGATGACGGAGGCTGTTAGCGTTCAGGAAGCAGACTCGATCTAAAATCAAGTTTGGAGCTAGGCGAGCGAGGGGCTGCTTGCATACTAAGGCAGAAGGGTTAGGGGACATCTGAGGGAAATAAGGCTTTCCAGGTGGCCGGAAGGAGACAGTGTGGGGAAAGAGCTGGCTGCTCCCCCTGGCATCACTGTCCACCTCATGGGATGCAGGGCCTTCTGTCCTGTGCCCGGGCAGGCGGCAGGTCCAGGGCAGGCCCTGGAGCAAACAACCGTGGCCAGCAGCTCTAAGCTGACCTCTTCCCCTTTCAGGGGCATTTTGTTGTTCTCTGTGCTCACAGTTCTTGAGAATTAGTAGCCAGGAGTGGCCACATTTTGTCTGATCTTCTCTACCAATTGCAATGTTCTTAAGCCTTCGGAGACTGAGAAGACATCTCTGGGAGTTGGGAGTGTCAGGAAAGAGGGGCCTTTCTTCATTTTAGTTTGCCCCCCCCCCCTTCTCCTTCCCCCTCCCTCCCTCTTTCTCTTTTTCCTTTCTTTTCAGTCAACAACCAGAGACCATCAGAAGTAGGGAACCGAACAGAGAGGCCCAGCTAAAGAGCAGAGAGGAATCCAGTGTTCTGAGTGGGTTTTATCACGTTGACTCTGAGAAAACCCGAGGGCCTCTTGGCTTAACTGAACTCATTGTAGAGGAGTCTGACTTTGGTGAACTGTTGGCGATGGGCACGAATTTATTCTGCAGGAGGTGAAGCTGCACAAGGGGCTGCCCGTGTTTACCGAAGGCCTGGTCAGGGCCTGGGACCCCGGAGCCTACAGACCCCACAGACCCCGAGGCAAGGGAGGGGGCTGGCTGGGCAGGAATCCGGTCCCAGACATGCTGGTGTTTCTGCGATCTGGAAGGAGCCAGAGGGGAGTCTGTGGAATTGTGAGCAGGACCGGCAGCAGGACTTACAGGCTCCATGCAGAAAGCAAACGCAGGGCTCCTGGCTCAAAAGCACCGAGGAGTTCAGATGGTGACAGCACAGCACTGAGCCAAGCGGGCCCGCAGAGAGCCAGGCCCTCACCTGCCCAGGCTGTACCCTGTGAGCCCCAGCAGAAGGGGCTGTTGAGTCTAGAGACCTGGCTTTGCCACCAAACCCCTGAGCGGGACAGGCCTTCACCTGAGCCTCCATGTCTTCACTTATAAAAAGGTGGGGTGAGACCACCTTGCCTACCCCACAGCTCCGTCCAGAGGTCAAATGGAGAGAAACGATGGTTTTAAAACTCAGTAAATGTTTTAAAACCCTGAAGGCAAAGGCACAGACTTCTGCTCTGCAAAGTTTGCCTCAAAGTAATCACCAGCTCCTATTGTTACTAAAAATTTTGCATGGAAGCACATCTTTGAACTTAGAATGTTCTTCAAAGTAATAGAATTTGATTTATCAAAATTGTCAGGATAATTACTTTTTACCCCAGAAGACAGTTATTCTCTAAATCACAAATTCTTTTATATGACTCTTTAGTATCTCAATGCTTAAGAGAGATCAAGTTACCTGTTATTCAGACCATTATAAACCCACGGGTCCTGCAGTCACTGAATATGCAATTCCTTTATTCTTTGCTGGCAGGAGCACTCAGAATTGTCGGGATCTGAGTGGTTTTCGGTGCGGGGAAATTGTGAGAACCAGGAACTGTCAGGGACCGGAATGAATGAAGGCAGCGCCCTGTGCGAGGCACGCCTCATTCATCCTTCCAGAACAATGCGGCACTGAGCGAGTGACAAGAGGTGGGGGGATAAATGGGAGAGGCAGAGGCATTAAAGCTTCATGTCAGAGAGAAAGCGTCCCATGGGACAGTGGAGGTGTTTAATGATCATGAAATTGCCGCCTCCACTCTGTTCCTTCCTCTTTCTCTTCTCCTTCCTCCCCTTCCCCGTTTCTCCCCCATCTCCACCAAAGTGAAGCTACTTCATGCCAATTCCTACTGAGGTGCATGGTTGTCAAGGGCCGGCAGGGCCGAGTCTGGCTCCTGGTGTTGGCAGGGCTTGCACGTCCTTCGTTGGAGCACCACACCCTGCTCAGGGCTCCTGCTGGGCTTGTCTCCTGGGGGGTACTCACCCCATCTTCTCCCCTTCTCCCTCCATGACACCCTCAAGACAAATGTCCCCTTTGGTTATCCTGGCATTGGGTGTGCAAATTTATCAGTTCTACCAACCCTTGTCCCCGATCAGGTTGGCTACCTCGCTGGAAAGACTCAGAGACCTCAGGAAAGTTCTCTTGTTCCTGATTTTGGTTTTATTATAAAGGCTACCACTCAGGAACAGCCCAGTGGAAGAGAAGCAGAGAGCAGGTTCCTGGGAGAGGGGGCATCAAAGTGGCCAGACCTTCCATGCTCTCTCCAAGCCCACCACAAGCTCAGCACATTGATCTACTCACCAATCCGGAAATTCCCAAGCCCCATTAGGGGTTTTTATCAAAATCTCATTACCAACATCATTGATTAAACAGCTGGCGACTATGATTGCTGTGTAAGCGCCCCAGACTCAGCCATCTCATTGGCACACAGAAGACAATCAATTCTGAAGGTCTTAGGTTCTTTGTGCCAAGAATTGGGGGCAAAGACCCACTATCAATTTTTTATTATATCATAAACCCACACTTTTTTGTGTCTCACTTTTTTTTTTTTAATTTCTTTAATAGATCTGAGAGATGGTGTATGCATCTAGGCCCACTGATGGCAATTGGATGGCTTCCAATATTTTGTTATGACAAAGAATATGAAGAGTAACCTCACAGTTGCCAATTCGTACACGCGTGAGTCTATCTGTAGAATAGATCCCTAGTGAGATTGTTGTGTTAAAGGGTAAATACTCCCATATTTTGGGTAGATATTATCAAACTTCAGGAATGTATTCTTATTACCCCATCTTTAGATAAGTAACCTAGTTGAGGCTCGAAAGATGAAGCAATTTTCCCAAAGTGACCCAGACAATGAGGTAAAAATGGTCCTGACTAATTTAGGAGACAGGAGGAGGGATGGACGGGAACGGGAAGTGCTGGGGAGAGCAGGTGAGGAGCTCAGTAGCTGAACCACTGTACCTGTACCAAATAGCAAGTGGAGTGAGGGCCGGTTTGGAGGGAGTGGGAGCCACTGAGGGCTGTGGACCATCTCCCCCTGCCCACATGCTCCTGGAAGGGTGTGGCTTGTCCCAATTAAGTCCCAGTTAGTGGGACAAACGCAGGTGACCAGGAGTCAGCAATAATGGCCTATCCCCTCGTACTTCAATGTCTAGACAGCTGAGCCGAATCGAAACACATGACACAGAGACAGAATTGGTATGAAATCACACAGGGCTTAGTTACCTATTCCTAGTGCATCCTGGGCTCCAGCAAAGGCCACTTGGCCATGCACACTGAAGGACAGACGATGAAAACAGAGACAGGCAGGCGGCTGCAGTTGGCTCAGGCTCACACAGCAGAGCAGTCAGGGGCTTGTCTCTCAGAGCGACGTGGAGTCCTCTTATCAGGCAGGAGACCTCCACTGAAGCTGGTCCCAGGGTTATATGAACCGTGGTAACCAGCTGTGTCCTTATCGGTGTGGGCCAGACTGTGTGTCTTATCCTGGGAGCAGGGCATTTTTACTTTAAGGGCCCAGAGCTTTTACATCAAGATATTGGGGTCTTCGTCAATTTTGGAAGTTACAGAGTATTGGGGTTCCCATACAGTCAACATCTCACACAATAATTAGAGGGGTTACGTTATTATAACGTGGCTCCTTGTCGGAACTGTGTTGTCATTGGGGAGGAGCATGGAACGTTCAGACCAGCCCCTTTATCTTTCTGCTGGCTATGGAGTGCGTCCCCCACAGGACTCGGTCGGAGCAGACCACGTGCTTGCTTATCGGATGACCCCCATCCCCCCAAAATCGCCTTTGCATCTTTTTACCCAGAGGAGAATCTTACCTCAGTGAGAATGCAAAGACAAGCTTCCTGTGTGTGTGCACCAGGTATCTGGATTGTCTATAAAGCCCATTCTTTGAAAACAGCCTCCCCCACCCCAACGGGAAGATCTCCGGGGCCAAGTGTAAAGCAGAGGACCCCACTGCTCTGGTCAGATCAGCCGGGCCGCGCTCGGTGCCTCAGCAAGCTGTCACCAGGAGTGAGGAGTGGGTGGTGAGAGCGAGGTGAGCGAGCTGGAGGTTTCGTGCCTTGTCTCTGGAGCGACGCGGAAAGCAGCCTTGAACAGAGGGACAAGGAAGCTCACCCCTGGCAGAGAGACGAGACAGCAAGCAGCCTCGTTCTTGGTGAAGGTTTGTCTCTGGTTTAACTTTTGAGGACTGGCTTGCTTTAAACTTGGATTTCATGCACTAATGCATTTTCCTCTCTAATAATGCAAAATCCCCCCAGTTCCTGAGCTCATGTAACCGGGTAAAAATGTTCATGGGAACACCCTCCTCTCACTTACCAGGAGAATCCAGTCATGACCAGCTTTTATTGCCTCAAGTCCAAGGAGGTAGAAAGAGCTTTGTCCTCAGCTGCTCCTGTACAAGTCCTGGCTCCCTGGTGATTGGGCCAACCTGCGTCACATGTCCGTCCCCGACCAATCACTGGGCCCAAGGATGCAGTGCAAGGACTGGCCTGGGCTCTGACACGCACTCAACTCTTGGGCCGAAGGAAGTTTCCACAATCTTTTCAGAAGGGAAGCTGGATGAGGGGCTAACAAGCCCACCAGGGCCCGTTGCAGGTGCCTGGGAACCCAAGGCCCCGGCAAAGACACCAGACCTGTCCAGAACGAAGTGATGTCAGTGCTCCTTCCAAGAGAAACCATGGTTTCTGTCCGAGTCCAGCCTGTCACACCCAAACGCATCTCCACAGGCTTATTCAGCGCCTTCTCATGAGCACACCTCTCCCAGCACCGCTCACGCAGGGCCTGGGCCACCGCCCTCCTTG